TCCTCTCATCAAAGAGGATGTAACATAAGGACTAGGACCACAGATGTTCAGTTGAAAAAAATACTGGCCGTGAGTCTCAAAAGGCTTTTTACCAAGGCTAACTGATTAGCGGCAAACCGCAGTCGTAAAGCAAATCTGAACTCCGTTCGGTCCGTCGCTCAGTACTGCTCAGTACGGTAGCAGCACGGGGCGTCTACCCGCTTCATGGAAAATGGTTGAGTCGTTTCCTTTCGACTGTAGCCTCTGAGGATGTGATCTAATAAAGGCCGATTAAACATGTATGAATAAACATGAATTCCGTCTCATTAATTAGTCATAAAAATCAGCAAGTTGGTTAAACCGCCTTCATTTCGTATCGATTTGTGCCATACGTCTAATGCCGTTCCGTCGTTAACTACGGTTTTCCATCTGTTTCTAAGGGGCGCTTAATAAAACGCTTGAAGTGAAAATGTGACGCAATTTAGGCTTACTGAACATCACGGCTATGAAGTAGGCCTACTGCAGACTAATCAAATTAGTTTAAGGGATATCCAAAATCTTTCCCTGAGCAGAATAACAGAATTATTCCATGTTTGTACGATTTCCGTAAGAAGGGAGACCCACTGGAGTCGATTGTTGACTGAAATATTTAAAAGTATTATGTAACAATAAGTTCTGGTAAGAAACAAATGCCCAATTTCCCTTGATACGACACGGACCGCATAGAAAATGACACGTCCAAAATTTATACTCTTGTTCTCTGTAGTCGTTGTCGCCGGAACATGTTTACCGAGTCGTTGCCTAGGAACGAAAGGAGAGATAAAATTTACCGTGCCGTTGACTAGCAACGCATATACACAAACTGATGAGAGGGATTTATGAAGTACGACATTGAGATTGGCTCATGTGACATTTTATATACATCAAGTTTCATAAAGATTGGTTCAAGAATTCAAAAGTTGATAGGGTGGTTGGGGGGAGGGGATTCACAGAGACACAGACAGCAGGGAGATCTCATAAGCTTACGTTCATTTTTTAAAAAATGAGGAAAATATGCTAAAATGGAGAAATAGACTAGCATATATTTTGCCATGCAAGCGTATTATGTTGAATGGATTGGAAAACAGTAAACAAGGTAAGGTTGTCCCTGTGCATAATTAAGAGCCATTCCCTGAAGTTGCAATCTTAACCTCGACACTAGGCTGATGTGAGTGGTCAGCTTAACGCTCTGGACGCTTTACCCCTGAGGAAAGAGATCCTTATGATGCTGGGTGGGCCCAGAACTTCTATGAATACGGTGATCAAAAGAATCTAAGAGAATCGAACTAAGATTCCCCTGTAATCCAGTCCGTAGCCTAATCACGGTACTGACTGAGCTGCCCCGGTTTCATTACAAGATATGGTAAAGGTATCCCTGTACCATGCCTAGAAGGCCCATGAGGGCGTGAGATGTTGAGGCTCCATATTTTCTTTATACTACCGGCTCACAGATGGCGGCGAGTTTGTCATTCTTATGCGCCGGCTGCCCTTTACCCCCAGGAATATTCCTTGCACTCATTTCTGTTAGAGGCTGAGTCGACCCTAGGGCCGTAGTGCATCTAGAAGAATTAGGTCAATTGAAAAATACCCACCTCATTGCACCTCGAACCCGCGACCTTCCGGCCTCTAGCACAGTGCCTGAACTAACTACGCTACCGCTGGTTGAAGTTAGCTGAATGGCAGACGTTTTGTAGCAGCGACTTCGTGATGCCATGGAGTCAGTACCCTTAGAGAGCTTCAGCCTGGTCACGGGACATTAACTGCAGATGGTGGGGCGATGTTTTTGGGTCGGAGAGTATCCAAAAGGAGCACTTAGGGAGTGAATGTTACCCGTCTGGAGAGTTATGGCTCACTGGGAGAGGAGAGAGAGATGAGACGAAGGCCGCTAATTCTCTGCTAAGTGCCGGCAAATTACTAGCATTGCCACTGTGTCCTCACTACAACAGTGGCACAAGGAGCTACCCAGCTCAGTGGCAGTACCGAGGGGTAGCCAACGGTACGTCGCCGGGCCCTTGGTGCATTGGGAAGGCCTTTCGGATCCTCGTGAGAATTTTCCTATGTCTACTACAAGCCGCAAAGTCGCGGGTTCGATTCCCTATGAGGTCATTTCATTTTTCAACTGACCTAATCCTTCCAGCCACACTATGGCCCTGGGGTCGATTAAGCCCCTAACAGAAATAAGTACCAGGAATCTTCCTGGGGTAAAGGCGGTCGGTGCGTAAGGCTGACAACCTTAACGCAATCTGTCAGCCGACTGTCTAGAAAATGTGGGAGCCTCGACGTCTCATAATCCTGTGGGCCTCCACGGCCTGTTACAGGAATAGCTTTACATATTTTTCAATGGTTGATTATCAAAAATCTGTGTTGATTTCCGTTCTACAAACCGAATTTCTCTCCACTGCAAAGGAATTTCAAATAGGTGAAACTTTCTGTCTTCTGGGATATAACGCCGCGTAGCCAGTTGAACGTCAACCAGTGTTTCGGAGGAACATTTCGCTTCCAGTATCAGAGATGAAGAGTAAGCTAAATAAGAAACCACAGTTGATGCTGGTTTCTTGCGTGCCTTACTCTCCAAACCTGAAGATGGAGGCGACATGTTCCTCCAAGACGTCCGTTGACTTTCAACGGGCTACACGAGTTTATATCCCAGAAGACAGAAAGTTTCAGAAGCACCGCTGTGAGAACCTCTAAACCCCTCTTTCTTAATAAGTTTTTAGATTTATTAGGTAAAGATGTCCCTGTGTTTATTCAGTTAAACAATATGTCATGAAGACATATGGAGGAGTGGAGGTACCGCTCCACCATTCTTGAAATAGGTCATGTGTCACAAGAAGGAATTATTTTATAATGAAGAAACACTTTGTGAAGAAACGGGAAACACTTCTGTACAGCAGACATCAAAATTACAAACAAAAATATAGAGCATAACCATCTTCTCTAAAAGTTTCAAAACCTTGCGTTATACAATGATACGAGTATATGACACTATGTTCTCTGCTGATAAACACAAAGTTAATTCCATTCTTTTATCATAACAATTGTATTAGATATAGAATTTTTAATAAAGAGGTTAAAACAGTTAAATGTCAAACAGCGCCGGGCATTTAAATGAGATCCGTCCAGCTCACCATTTAAAAAAGTCCGGCATAAAAGAGTTTTATAATTATTTCAAATTATATCTTCTTCGGTAGACTCATAAGCATCTTATTATTTCCCATCATTCAGAAATGATCGGCGACCCTGCTGCAAATGTTAATGGCGCCCGAAGGGTGTGCCCATGTCAGAATCCCAAACCGACTGAGCCCGCGGTGCAGGTTCCTTCTTGAAGTACTGGCATTCGCTGTATTGGCCTTTTGTGGAACTCGAAGGTTCATTGCAATGTACACAAGAACCGGCCACTGGACCGCATCCGGAGCTATACATAGCCAATCAACACCCTCACCCTACACTCATCTTCGGGAAGGGGTGGAATTTTACAAAACATTCAGCGTCTCGATCACAGCGTTGAATAGCAGGTTGAAAAATGAATTGGAAAAGACTCGGGGAAAAAGTGGCCTTGACATAACTGTGGTACTATTCTAGAATTTTCCTTGAGGGACTGAGGAAAATCACGGAGCAGCTCAGGCAGAATAGCTGGTATCCTGCCTGAAATTCGAAGCGACTAACTCCTAATATTCCCATCTACATGCAGGCTCCGAAAGTTGTCTTTTACCTTCAGATGTTCCAACTGATATCTGTAGACCTGTGCACTTCTTATCTCACCCATCCGGACTTCATGCCCTGTTCGTCTCATTATCCTTGATTGGTCAACAGGCTGGCTGCTAAGGAGTAGTCTTATGGCTATCGGTATTACATAACTTTCCTCTACTTCTTCTTTCTGTTAGATACTATGATACAAGCCAGGAGGTCGCGGGTTCGATTCCCGATTTGGTCATTAGATTTTTCAATTGACCTAATCCTTCCAGCCGCACTATGGCCATGGGGCCGACTCAGCCTCTAAGAGAAATGAGTACCAGGACCTTGTTGTGGGTAAAGGGCGGCCGGCGTGTGAGGCCGATAACTTCACCGCCGTCTGTGAGCCAGTTGTCTAGAAAATTTGGGAACGTCGAAGTCTCACATAATTCTATGGGCCTCCACGGTATGTTAAAGGGATAATCTTACCTTCCTTAGGTTTAACTGGACTAGTGTCCTCAGAAAACTGTTCTGAAACAAACACAGGGTTTGATGTGTACTGTCTTAAGGCGCGTCCACATTACTCGTGCCCGTGGGTCAGAAGCTTACTGCTGCCGGAAAATCAGAATCTGCAGCTGATATCTGTTGTGAAGAAATGCGAAAGCTTTGTATGCAAACCAGTTTGGGCGTCCACTTCGTCAGCTCCGGCAGCAGTAAGCTTCTGACGCACGAGCACGAGTAATGTGGACGCGCCTTTACAGGAAGAGACGCCGACGTCTCGGAGAAGGGTAATACCTTAGTTGTTGCCTGTTTCATGCTGGTGACTTGCTTGGCTTATTATTTTACTTTTATGATGGAAGCGATATGTTTCTCCGAAACGTAGATCTACTTCCGCCAGATTACACGGCGTTATATCCCTGCAGATACGACAGTGAGAACAGCTGATTAATAAATATTTTTCTCTGTAAGGCCTATATTTTTTTCTTTCTATGCCTGTAAGAAAATCTTTATAAAATATTGAAGTCTGATTTAACAGCATTTTCTTGAATTTAATAACATGTATGCATCGTATAAATTTCGTAATTTCTTTATAAATGTGCGTGTTCCATTAAGACGCTCTTGCATGAAAATTATTCTGAGAAATTAGTGGAGCGCATTCTAGGCTTGCGATTGGTTAAGAGCGTAACCAATGGTAAACGAGATAATGGGCGGCACTCTGTTTCTGGCCCCACCCCTTCCTGCCAACAGATGTGAGAGGACCGACCAAACAGATCTCTTGTTTGGATTATAGGTTAGGGCGATCAGTTAGATGCAATGTGGCAATGAGATAGCTTTGTTTTTTGTTGTAACCGTGCAATTGGAACGTGAAGTCAATGAAGCAGACAAGACTTACACACCGTGGCAACATCACATTCGCAGTTTCCTACTGAAGATTGCATCAGTAAACATTTATTCTACTTTGACTTTTTCAGTTGCAGCAGTGTCTGAATCAACGCTCGGTATGTGAACAGATGGGAGTGACTTTTCTTATTGTTGTGACGTGTGAATTTGATGGTAACAATCAAGAAGTAGCGCTAATGACGAATGACAGGTTTCAAGATGAACCGACTATACTGCAAACTGCTTTGTTGATAAAACTTTTGAAATTTTCTCATCCAGTGTTCAGCGAATAATTCATCCAGTATTAATAGAGAAATATAACGTTATTTTATTTGTTAAGTTAAAAATATAGATCAAATATGCGTGATAAAGAAGCAAGGTACGTTATTTTGTATATACAAGCATTCTTTAATATCTGACACAAATAATATGTTACTGCAAATGTGACTTTAAAATTAAATGAGGCCCCTGTTTTGAAGGACTCAACGTCAAAAAACTCTCAGGAATGTGTCTTACGCACTCAAATATCTAAGACGTGCCTGAATATGAGGAGAGAAATATGAATATCTACATTTCGTAATTTCTAACAAACTGTGTCACTGGAAGTAACCAACAGCGGTATCACTGAGGACGAGTTGTGATGGGTGTAGTGTTAATGTTATGTTACACAACATAGAATATTTTAATGCGAACGTTACGGTAAGATTCATGACGAAGCAGCGTAGGTTATGATTAACTGTAGCAACTATGACGGCGAAAAATGACTTTCCTTAAATTGTGTGGTCAGGAAACGAAAGAGAGACAGTAACAAGTGTCGTGTTAAAGCGAGAGAGGGAAGTGAGACTTCCTCTCATAACTGCAGAATCAGTGTAGGCGCGATTGTGCTGTAATTTTGAGATCTCGTAATGGAGGAAGGAGAGAAGAGGACCATAAAGAGTTAAACAGATACAAAATAAAAATAAAAAATAAACAATGAATTTTAATATCCTATTATATGTGTAGAAATTAATATATAGAATATTTATTGTCCACTGATAAAATAAGGACCGAAGAGAAGGTATTTCTTGGAACTTTAAAATATGTTAAGAACTTGTGACTGGCTTCTTCTTCCGGCAGGATCAGCAGTAGGAGATACACATGAGACGAGATCTGTTGCTTTGTAACATAACAGTTGATACAGAAAGCAAAAATGGAAACCACTTTCAGTCGGGAACAGTTATCAACCCAGCCGCAACCAACATCTACATTATCAACACCATTATCAACACAAACGTCACAACAAAGATCAAGGAATTTACGTCCATTTTCCATCGAATCACTAATAGCGACTCGACCCAACAATCGTTCAAATTGTCAGAGTAATGACGCAGCTCGCTTAACAAACACAGACTTAAGTGCAATGGATTTTGTGAGTCACAGACTGAACATGGGTAGTGCAGGAGTGTGTGGTAACAATATGGCGGCGGCCGTAGCCCTTGGCTACCCTGGAGGCATTGGTCTACCGATACCATTGTTGTACAATTCATGGTTGCCAACATTACAAGCTGGATTGTTTCTAGATCAACAAAGTCATCATATTGCTCACCCTGGAGCTCATGAACCGACTTTACGAGCTCCATCAGGACTTCTACCGCCGCTTCTGGTTCCACAAGGACCTCCTGCAGGAGTAGGACCTCTTAGTCCTGATTCTGAAGCCTCGCTGTCACCTCATATCGCCCATGACCTCTCTGGAAGAGGAGTTGCAGGTTGGTGATCCTGAACACTAGAGATTCCTGGCACAGTTTCCTTCCCCTGTTATGCATGGCACCGTTCATAGTTATATTGCCCTGAGTCAAATGCCTTCACTGTGGAACACAGTCACTCATTCAAAGCACAGCACTACTTGCAACAAGTCTGGCTACACGAGGAAACAAACACACACAAAATAACGCGCACCATCTCACGACCATATAATGAAGGCCTCGCCCTAGTGACGTCAAAAGCATAACAGATACGAAATTTTTAAAAATAAATATATATGTTAATATACAAAATTATGGTTTGATATGAAAACAAATCACTTACACATGGCAAAAAGACTGACAGCATTTAAAAAATACAAAATATACTTTAATTAATAATAATAATAATTCAATTCAATTTGTGTTTATTTACGTGCAAATTTAACAGCACAGAGGCCAAGTACAAAATTAGCACGATTACACAGAAATACACAAAATAATTAAAGAAGAAAATGCAAAATACAACAATTTATATAATGACAATAAATTAATATTAATTCCAAGAAAAATTAAGGTTGGCATTGACAGGCGAGAAAAATAAAATAATAGTAATGAGAAATGTTAATTTTACTTTATTTTAAATTAATTTAAAATTGAAATTAATGTTAATCTAATACATTTCAATTTTGCATATGAAGTGTAGCTGACATTAGTAGTGTAAATAAAACATACGACCTTCCCCATTAGACGTAAATTTGGTGGGGAAAATGGCAAAATAGCTGAGTGTGAATGTAAAGTGATTTACTAGATAATTGCCATAAATGGCCGAAACATGTTGTGAAGGGAGAAAAATGTATTCAAATTAAACACAAATTTTATTGGCGAAACTTAGAGAGCTAGTCCCTATCTCCTGGCATCTATGCCAGCTTCAACAAGGGGTATATATAAATCAAACACAGGGCAAACAATTCGCGAGCGCTAGCTTCGGAGATAGGGAATAGCTCTGTCGATTGAGTCCAACTGAGTAGGTTTTACCTGAAGATAGAGACAGAATCCAGTCTCCGAAACGCTGTGTTTTGAAAACTACACAGGACGGCATTTTTAGATAAAGGCAGGACAATGGATAATGTCCAAAAACATAATGTTTGTATCAATGTACCGTCGTCCCAAATTTCAGATCTTATCTATAATAAAAATCGTTGTATAAATTCGAATAAGTTGACCAGTACCATGAAAAAAAAAAATGAAGAATTTATAGCTTTGGAATGTAACACAAACATTATAGCAAATATATATGGCATAATACTGCCCCACACACACACACACACGAAACCATGCCACAGTTGGCATAAATTGGTTCGATGAATGCATAATTTTCTTGGGCCTGTTAATCGATTATGAAGATCGACATGCCAGTATTTTTTAAATGTAGGATATACTGGCAGGTCTCTTTGTTGTCTGTGTCGTTCTGTGTATATTTTACGTCATTAACGTTGGTCATTTTTAAGTTTTAATGTTTGGGCTTGTATCCGCACCGAAAGTTATCTTTGGTTCTATGTTGATTAGTAAGGAAACAGAACAACTGATAAATTATCAGCATTTTTAGTTTTTGTTATCTTAACCGGTAAACTGACCAGTTAATGAACATATCGAGACCTTATGCTCTTTCTCAACAAAACAATTTGATTTTATGCCTGCGAGATCTTTGATATCCTCACAGAAATGTGTCTTAAGATCCCGGTCTTCTCAGGTATGACGCCATGTAAGTTCACTTGGCGTTTTATAGGAAACGTCTGACTCAATCTTTTACTCTGAAGATGGAGGTAGCAGGTTGCTCCGAAATATTTTTCTGTGTTTGTGTTGTATGGGTGTGAGCAGTATCCTGTTAATTTTAGGGAGCGATATGAATTAATGTCAGGCCTATTTTAAAAATAATTTCTAAATTAAATTTGTGGACTTAAAAATAGTCTAAATGAACACATTTTATTTGTTTATGGCTTACTTAACGACGCCGTTCCTACAAATTTTATTTTAAAATGGCAAGATGATTTGTGAATGAATTGAAAAAGACGTGGAAGGAAACGCTGGCCTGAAATAGGCCTATTATTAAGGCATGTTCCTAGAGGAACTGGGAAGAACCACGAAATATCTCAGTGAGGAGAGTCGACGTTCCGACCGAGATTCAAAGTGGTCACCACCCAAACAAATGTCGGAGGCTTTACCCTTGAGTCAACCTGCTCGGTGTGTGAACGACTGAAGATTTACAGAGAATTGAGCCTAACGAGGAACTTTGTGATTTATGCAAGTCGCTTATTAGCAGGGTCCGGATTTTGATGACCTGAAAATATTTAAAAAATGACCTATAAAATGACCGAAAAATCCAGAAAAATGACCTAAAATATGACCCAAAAATGTAATATGCAGGGCCCGGATTTTGATGACCTAAAAATATTTAAAAAATGACCTATAAAGTGACAGAAAAATCCAGAAAAATGACCTAAAATATGACCCAAAAATGTAATATGCAGGGCCCGGATTTTGATGACCTAAAAATATTTAAAAAATGACCTATAAAGTGACAGAAAAATCCAGAAAAATGACCTAAAATATGACCCAAAAATGTAATATGCAGGGCCCGGATTTTGATGACCTAAAAATATTTAAAAAATGACCTATAAAGTGACAGAAAAATCCAGAAAAATGACCTAAAATATGACCCAAAAATGTAATATGCAGGGCCCGGATTTTGATGACCTAAAAATATTTAAAAAATGACCTATAAAGTGACAGAAAAATCCAGAAAAATGACCTAAAATATGACCCAAAAATGTAATATGCAGGGCCCGGATTTTGATGACCTAAAAATATTTAAAAAATGACCTATAAAGTGACAGAAAAATCCAGAAAAATGACCTAAAATATGACCCAAAAATGTAATATGCAGGGCCCAGATTTTGATGACCCGAAAATATTAAAAAATGACCTATAAAATGACCGAAAAAATCCAGAAAAATGACCTAAAGGAGAGAAGAAAGAACACTTCCCTTCCATGTTATTCACATTTCAGAAAACATATGAAGAAAAATTCCCTAAAATGGCCAAAAATGACAAGAAATACCCTTAAAAGTCCAAAAATTACCCCCAAAATGAAAAAATGACATTAAACCTAAAAATGTCAAAAAATGACAAAAAAATACCCATAAAATTTACATTTCTGTAACCCGCAGCTCATATCCGATATTTATATATTTAAGAGCATCGCATAGGATACAAGGAAAAAAAGATGACATGTCATCAAAATCCGGGCCTTGCCAATTAGTGAGGGACAGTGAAGTCTAGGAGACCGAGATGGCCTGATGTGGCACAAATTGTGGGGGGGGGTTGGCAAGAATTGTACAGTAACTCCTGAAGAATGTCCAGTTGGCAAGGCGAGGCATTAATACCTAAACAAATAAACAATTTACAGCAAAACTAGTCCAACAGCGTGGAGAATCCTACAAGCCAACTGAGCTTACACAACACCGATAATAACACTACCTCGTCATCCTTACGAACTGCATCAATGAGACACATAATGCACAGCCCGCAAAGGAAATGCAGCGGAGCTACATCCAACACCCAGAAGTTCTCTCAAGCAAATAACTTTTAAATGAATGGATGACGACTACACTAGAAATAACATAAAGATCGTAATAATTTTTAATTCCAATATTAATTAATTTTAATTAGCGAATATCGCTTTCACACACGTTATATCCTAACTCTGACATAGATTGGCCGCGCCATAGCTCAAGCGGTTAGTCGTTGGCTTCCCACGGCCACCGCCCGGGTTCGATCCCGGGTCTGGTAAGGTGGGATTTGTGGTGGACAAAGTGGCGCTGGGGCGGGTTTTCTCAGAGTACTTCGGTTTCCCCTGCCAATCTTCATTCCACCAAATTGTCCATCATATAATCACCCGGGGCAGGCTACAATAGGCCAGTCAGTGGCTGCCGTGCCGAGTGGTCCTAGCTGGACTCCACCCCTCACAAGCAAAACTTTTACATAGAGTGCAACAGTTTCATCAAGACAAACAATACCTGAAGATGGCCGTACGAGTATATGACCGAAACATTTAGTGAGGAAGAAGAGTGGCTAGATACTAAGTTGCATTTAAGGTGGAAATTTACGTGAACGGAAGATTAATATCGGAAGTAAACATAACTGGCCCAGAATCGTGGTTTAGTATTAGCAAAGTTAAACCTCCAAGTTCTGCTCCCACAGTGTTACAATGAGGAATCGAACCTGCATAAAATTGTCTCATAATAATGAGGCGTGTTGCCTATGTAACGCGACAAATCAATTCACGCGGGTTTCCGGATTTGAATGAATATCTATTGGCCACTCGCTCTTACACACGCAAGTACGTACAATTATGATCACTTATACCGTCTGTGGACATCTCTTCTTCACTGCTCTAATTACTTGCACCGCTATCCTCGGTCAAGTGTCTTGGTCTCATGTCGAAGAACTCTTCCTGTTGGAGTCGAATACAAACTCAATACAAACTGAAACTGAACCTGTCTGGTCAAAGTCAAAGTCACATTGCGACTGACGGTCAGTCAGTCAGTCTTTCATGACCAGATATTTATTACTGTTTAACAGTTACGGTCTTGTTTTGTAGGGCGCCCTCTCTGATAAGAGGACGGGTTTGTCTTTTGTATATGCTGCTGGCCCTTGCCAGCGCAGTCTTCCTCTGGTCCGAGTCCCTTGGGACTTGTAACCATATTTTACCGTCTCAGATTTGAGACTACCCTTTTTGTCGCCTCCTACTGTCTGGTCCCACGTCCAAGTCACATTGCGACTGGTTTCGAACGGAACAGAGCGCGCCATCTAGGAGCTTTTGGTCTCGGCCGCTGTCATGGAACGAAAGCTCTGTTGTCCTTTCATCTCCGGGGTAACGCATTTGTTGCGTAAGGTGTTCCTAGGCAACGGCCCGCTGTTATTGTGTTTCCATGGAAGTTTATTTTCCGGATTCCCCGCACTCG